CTACTTGCATGCTGCTGTACCTTAGGAAGAAAGGCTTAGTGTAAATGATTCCTTGTTTTTTCTTTAGAAAGTACTAGTGTAAATGATTTCTTTCCATACATGTGAGGAGGGTGTATTGATTGTGAGTTTTTTTTATAGGGTGTGGTTTGCAGGTTGAAACTTTGAACAATCAAAGTAAGGCGCACCTAAAAGTTTATCTTGAATGTATAGTTTTGGTGTAAAAGTATTCTTAGGATGTTACGCGGATCTATTTCCAAACCTAATTATAAAATTTTAAACTTTAATAATGGTTCAAATCAAGCAGATCTAAAAACACATGAAAATTTTGAAAATGGAGGGTCCAGATCATGTATTGCACAATATATTATTTTTAGAACTTGAAATCTTTCTTTTCTCCATATCTATGGATCTCAATGTCACGATGATCAATTAGATTTGTTTCCAGCATCTAAATGCCAAGATAATCAATTAGATGTTTTACCAACATCAAAATAACTTTTTTCGAGAGAATTTTGAGCACACCTGATATCTACATTTTAAGGTATCTACCTTTTTTTTTACATTTGTATACAACTACATTCATGTAATGATCTAAATTGGTACCCTTTGTTTTTTGGGTATTTCAATGGCGAAGACAGGCCTCTACCTGAGTGTGAATGGATAGTAGGATAGTGTTAACAGGATTAGAAACCACAATGTGATAACTAGGCATGAGAGTGCTACCACCTTTGACCCAACGAGTTCCTAAACATAATTATGGGAAGAAAGTTTATATGAAGCGATCCTAGTGTTCTTTTTTTTTTTTTTTTGACAATATCAGTTACTTTTATTGATAGTGTGCTGAAACAACATGAGATTACAAAGTGGAAATTAAGGTGTCAAAAATAGAAAAGGAGGACCGTTTCGGGTGTTAATGCCCAAATTTTCGAATTTTGACCATCGAGTCATCACGACCAAATTACCGTAAGTGGGGATGGGGCATGTACCCTAAGTAGGAATTGAACCTATGACGTAGCATTGCAATTTGTCAAGTGCTAACCAATTAAGCCCCGGCTCTTTTCCTAAAAGACACGGTTTCTATGCGGCTAGCCCGCATATTGTGGAGAATGGGTTGGAGCTTTGGTGGTAATACTAATAAACCCTGTTATGAAGTCTTTGATTCCATTCTCATCAAAAGGTAGTCTTTGATTCCATTCTCATCAAAAGGTAGGGGCAAAATCTCCACTGACTTAGCTTCATATCGTAGAAATGAAGACCTTACTCCTTACAATTTGCGATCCAGCCCGCATGAAACGATTTTCCTTTCTTAAATTGCTGCAACGGTTTCTTGAGCGACAGTTTCTCTCTCCTGTACGATTTTGAGCATTCTTTAAGTCCCCACGCGTTGCTTCAATCAATCTCTCTCTCTCTCTTCTGGTTTCCAGTTTAGGCTTGGGAAGTCAACAAAAGCCGATTGAAGTACCTGTCATCCTGTGTGTATTGTTGATTTCTAATGTATAAACTCGATCTCTTTGTTCTTTCTATAAAATTAATGCAAACAGTCGACTTCTTTCTCTTTTAAAATTGTTTGTAAATGGTCAATCTCTTAGATTTTTATTTCTTCGAGCTTCATTAAATTGCATTTCTGTGTCGTTGATTCTAATGTAAATGGTCAAATCTCTTATTTATTTTATTTTAAAATTATTGTAAGTGGACAATCCCTTCAATTATTGTAAATGTTCAATCTCTTAGATGTTCATATCTTCAAGATCCCAACTCTCTCTCTCTCTCTCTCTCTTCCCCCACTTCCCCAATAACAATTGAAACTTCCAAAATGTGGGGATGTACCCTTTTTAAGTTACGGATGCAGTTTATGTAAGGACTAGGCTTTCTGAAAACAAGATAAAGCCTCAAAAGCAATTTTGGTAACATAAATATCTATCATGGCTCTGAAATCAATTTTTAACACCGACAATAAAAATTGAAGCTTAAAAAATGATACAAAGCTTGTGGATATATGAGCAGTTGTTTTTAAGGCGAAATAAATGATCTAGATAGTTTTAAGGTGATGCTTTACTGCAGCTCTACCCAAATCACTTTCCCTAAAGTAATGTCTCAAGGTTGAATAAAGACCATCCAATTTTTTAGGTAATGAGATATAGGTATTGAAGAGCTCAAAATGTAAATTTGTAATTAATAATCTCATGGTCCTAAGGTGGATCCTAACATGTCAGATTGAAAAAATCATTGATCATCTTCAAGATTAAATCCTTGAGCCTTGGCTTGGTGTTAAACATATTAGTTTGGGATGTAGGAGATCAATAGTTCAACTCCTTAAAAGTTTGTACTTGAAAAAAAAAAACTATGTAAATTTAGATGATAAGAATTTGTTTTAATCCATTAATAGAGTTCAACTCCTTGAAATTTTAACCTAAAAATGCTAAATTTATGGATTTAGTTGATAATAATGGTTTAATCAGTTAATGGAGACTCTTGGAGAGCGACTCTACTTTCAACGATTCAACCAATAACCATTATCCACAATCTATATTTATTGACAGATTTTTGTATTATTAAATTAAAAATACCTTGGAGCTGACATTTGCAAACAACCCCATATCCATCTTTCTCTAAATCATCCACATCTATAAGCAACCCCATATCCACCTTTCTCTTAATCATCCATACTTATAAACAACCCCATATCGACCTTTGTCTTAATCATCCACATTTAAAGATTCTTATGATGTCATTTTATCACCATTAGAGCTCTTAATTTCTACTTTCTTAGAGAGCTGCGCCATTGAAGTTGCAGATAAAAACCTGAGTTCGAGTAACTCAGCCCGAGTTGGGTCGAGTACTGTAGCAACAACAAAGTGTTAAGAAATACTAAAACACCAAAAAATATATATTTTTTAAAATAAAATTAAACAATACACATCTAAATGAGTTAAAAGAGGTAGTGAAAAATAAATTTTGAAAAAAAGTAATTTGTGGCTGGGGATACTTTGGAGATAATCCAAAAGGAGGGAAAATGCTACGATAAGCATTAATGGCAAAAAAAAAAAAAAAACTTTCCACTTTTTGCCAAAAATGATAGAAAACATAAAAAAAATAAGTTATTTGTTTTTTACTAAATATTTTTGAATATTTTTTAAGCATCCTGAGCTGGACACCCAACTTAGGCATACTCAAAACTTGGTCATGGATTCGCCCGAGTAGTTAACCACTAGGGTATGGCACTAAGACAAAAGAGAGAGGGGGAAACAAATAGGTGAGAGAAGTTAATGAAAGCTAGGATTCTACAAAACAAAGAGACATATTTTGTTGATCAAGCTCAAAGTTCAAAATAAAGTTTTTTTAATGTTGTCGTACCCAAATAATTAGATTTTATATTGGATAGTTGTAAGTATTGTGACCTCCTTGTACCAAAGTTAAATGGTCTCATTGTACGCAATCCCTTAAAAAAATATGATTTTGAGTAGAAATAGTTCCAAACAGATAAATCATTAAATAATTAATCTCTTATAAGCATTTTGAAAGAACGATCGTATACAACCATTTGGTATAGGGATTTTACAATTACTTTACAACCATACGATGTGAAATCTGATTGACGATATGAAATTTGATTGTTTGGGTGTGTCACAAAGTTCGAAAAAATTTATTTTGAATTTTGAACTTGGTCAATGAAATAAATGCAGCCATCCAATTTTACATCTAATGGTCAAGATTAATTGTGACCACCTTATACCAAAAGCAAATAGTCTCGTTATATACTCTCTTTTTTTTAATAGGTAATTTAAAATTAAACCAAAAATACAAATAAAACATTAAATAGTTAATATCTTAATAAGTAATTTGATAAATTTACCAAGAGAATAATGAAAGACATATCCTCATGTACAATAGCCGACCCTACATAGTTGGACAAGATCTTTAATGATGATGATATTCACATTACAATTGGAACAGATAGTGGAGGATGTTCGGTAATAAAATACACTAAAAAATATGCACAGAGACAAGGAAATCTATAAATGAGACAAAGCGTGGACGCTTGCTCATTTGACATACATAGAGACACAGTGTTAAAATGGGGTTTGTATGGAGCCGAGGCTCTAAACAATCAAATTAGAGCCCACCTTCAAATAGTACCGACAAATATGATTTTAATAATGAAAAGTTGTGTGATTGTCTCAAATTATATTTTCATTTTTATTTATAAAATTTAAAGCTTAAAAAAAATGTAAATCGAACATATCTATAAAAACTTAAAAATCTTGAAAATTGACGGTCCAAAAATATGTACTATTTCAAAAATTTGAAATCTATATTTTTTTTTTAATGTCCATGCATCTTTATGTCAAAATGATCAATTTGATGATATTTGAGCATCAAAATAACCTCTTCTTGTGAAAGTTTTGAGATAAGACTCTAATTTGATTCTTTAAAGCCTAGGCTTTATGTAAACTTCTCCAAAAGGAACTTCTCCAAAAGGAAAACAGAGACAACAAAAGAGAGAGAGAGAGAGAGAGAGAGATGAAGAGAGGAGGATGGGAGTTTTTGCTCATAAAATGTAATGTGGGCATGGAGCTTAGCGTAAAGGACATTAATGAGACTAAAAAGAAATAGAGAGAAAAGACATTAAAGCTTTGTCTGATGTGAGAATGACTTGGAGCTCAAGAACAAGATGATTACCCCTTTACCCAACCTAAGACCAGTAAAACATACAAATGTGCCTCCTTCCTGGGGGTAATTCTCTCTCTCTAACGTCCATGTCATTCTTTCTCCCACTTCTCTCTCTTTCTTCCATTTCATTCTTTCTCACTTCTTGTTGGTTCTGTCTCTCTTTCTCTAATTATCCATCTCCTGTGGAGAACTTCTTCCTTCCACATCAATCTAGGTAATGATCCTTTCTCTTTCTCTCTCTCTCTCTCTCTCTCTCTATATATATATATATATATGCAATTGTCTCTCTCTCTCTCTATGCAATTGAAATTGTTTTTTATATGACTATATTATTCATCTGTGATATATGCGTAATATCAAAATTTAATTTTGATAATCGACACTTGTTGAGAATTTTCTTGAAGGAATTGATTTTATATACTCTGGTTTTTTTTAGTCCTAATTTTGCGTAGTATGGGATTTTTGACATCAGTGTTTCATATCTGATTTGGGTTGGAATTTTATTACTTTTGGCATACGGTTGGGCTATTCTTGTTTGGCGTTTAATATCTGATTCTCTCTCTCTCTCTGTCTCTCTCTCTCTCTCTTTCTTTATAGAAGATTAGAACTTTCTGAACTTTTGGATAACTAGCTATTTACCATACATTTCTTACCTTGTGAACTTGAATGTTTTATACCATGGCTTCTTCCGAGTCTCTAATGTTAGCATCTGGTTCTGCGTCACTTCTTGTTGATAAAAGATGAAACTGATACTGGTTTTGTGGTAGACCTTCATTTGCGAGTGTTTGAGCTACTTGTTTGTGTTACCTGCTGCCACCTCTCTCTCTCTCTCACAAAAATTTTTCTTTTCTTGTTCGAATGTGAACTGAGGGATTGGGGACTTAAAAATTTTGCAGTCTACTTGAATTTCTTTGATGGGTTTTCTAGATTGTAACCAGAGCTAATTCTGTTGATCAACTACTCAGTACTTGTCAAATATTTTTTAAGAAATTTTGGGAGTTAGTGGTAATCCTGGACTTAGGTTTGTTAATTTCCATGGTGTGGTTGTGTTAAAAGTGAATAATATCATCGTTTAGCTTTAGGTTTCTGGTGAGCTTTGCATGATTGCAAATTGCAGACACTTCCACTAGTTTGAAAATTAAAGTCCAATAACATTCACCTCACACTTTAATTGTATATAATAGTTTCACATTTCTTCTTTGAAAACCCTTTGAAGCGCCTTTGAAGATTCTGAACTCTGTTAATTGTCTCTATTGCAAAGTTTCTTTTGATTCTCATTTAAAAAATTCTTAAATCCCCTGTCTTGAACAAATCATTGCTTCCAATTCTTAAATTCTTTGCTTGCTTGATTGCCTTTTTCTCCATTTTCCTTTTCTGATATCTTAGGTAAATTTGAATTTGTATCTTAACTTCTTGATAATTGCATCCAGACTTTGCTTAGTGAGTTGTATATCAAGGTGTGGATGCGCTTTAGATAGATCATACATTTACAATGATTTAAATATAAGATGAAATTCATGGATGCAGTCCTTAAAGTCACTAGGCAATCAAATGCACAAGCTTATGTGGCTTTTCAAAACCCCTTCCAAGTCTTCAATGCTCCCCATGCTTTCCTTTTTCTTTGTATTGATATTGTTTACTGAGGAAATTTACTTGTAACTCATGCAGATCCCCTTGTTTTCCCACATTAATACCAATCGATGCTGCTAATATCTAATGATTTCATGACAGAGGACTATTGATATGGTTGGTTTGGTAGATTGTGACAACCTCTTTATCAAATTTGGAGAGGAAATTAATGAATTTCAGTTCTTATCCTTTATCTAAGTTTATGAATGAATGATATCCTTGCTTTTGCTCTTATTATGTTTTGTTTTTTTAGTATTTTCCATTTTCTGTTTAATTTTCATGCATTTGCTATGCTGGTATTGAACTTATTCTATGGTGTTTAATAAATACGAAATATTATTTTGCTAGAATCATTTTCTTGGTGAAATGCTCCTTATGAGCTAGTATGAGTGGATCATGTGACAATGTTGAGAGAAGTTCTAGCTCGACATCCAAAAGTAGCCAACAAGATACAGATGATGACAAAACTATAGCTAGCATATTACAAGAGCAGTACTTGGAAGTGGACGGTAGGCTTGGGAAGCGACTTTCTCACTTGAATTCTATCCCAGTAAGTATATGTTCAGGGCTTATTCTCTTCACTTGGTCAACTATTTCTTTTTCTGCATTCTGATAACTAGTACATGAAAGTTTTAGGGTAATTTTTTTCTCTTGGGTTGACTTTTCTTTATCTAGTAGTAAACTTTTATTTAGCAGTAAACATAAGTGGGAGCCTGGGAGTGATGATATTTAGAAGGGTAGGGTATGGCGATGGTTTGAGTTTGATCTTGGTTAAATGGCAGGAGCTGAGTTCCCTTTTTAGTAAGTTTCATGTTATACATGGCCTCGGAAGCCCTTATTAGCAAACTGGTTGTTTGTCAGAGTAGGTTTTAATTGAGTCATGTAGTTGGGGTGTCGTCCCATTTCTCTTCTTTCACTCAATATTGTTGAACTTCTCTCATTCTTTCTTATAGTTCAAATGTGATTTTATTTCTTGTATGCATCTACTCTTATGTCCTTCAAAAGTACAGCAGTGAGAAGCCACAAAGTGGTGGAAATTTTCAATTTTCTTCAGCATACATTTGAAGCACCCTCTTATCTTTTTTTGCTTTCTCAAAAGCCTCTTATCTGTTTTTGCTTTCTCAAAAGGTTTTTTCGTTTCTACATTTACCTGTTCATAGAATTGATCTGAACTTAGCTGAGCTGTGTAATGATGTATGTTGACTTTTTATTGTGCCTTCTGTTGTCAGCATAAACTCATGCCCACACATGGCTATTTGTTGACAAAATTAGGAAAATGTTGAAAATGTAACATTTATGTAAGGTTCCTACAACAAGATGCTATAAACATGAAACACTTATTCCTGTATTGATTGGCAGCACACTCCTCGGATTAATGGGGAGATACCTGATGTCGACAATGCAACCTTAGATCACGAAAGGCTCTTAGAAAGGTAGGGATGACAGCATGTCCACTGATTTCGTACCAGAGGTTTTCTCTGATTTTAAAGCTCTGAAACATATTATTGTTATGGAGTATGAATTGTTGAGCCACCATATATATGATTCCTTGAATAATTGTATTTGATGTTCTCATTTATAGGTGAAAGGGATTATCAGCTGCCATTTTTAATTCAAGATGTATTATTTTGGGATGTTTTATGAAAACTTCTAAAGGAGTATACTTTGTAAAAATCCTGGATGGATTTTGTTATTTTCAGGAATTTATGGTTTAAGATGAAAGCCTCTTGAAAATGTCTATCTAAAAGTTCTACAATGTATTGTAATGGAAATGGTTCACTTCTCACTACTTTGTATGTGTTTTAGTGCCTAAAGAGAGGTCACATTCACAAAATGCAACTAGCTCTAGCTTTCTGTCATGTAGCCAAGACATTTTGGGCTCCTCTTTTAACTTCATGGTTAGGGTCATAGCCCATCCCTTCCTCCTGACCAATAGTTTATGATTGTACTCAGCAGTAGTTTATGATTGTATCCTGTAATCCGTAACAAGTTATTATCTAAAATGCTTACACCCCACCAATCCACCATAGGAAATTTAATAATAGTTAACCTATAGTTTATGCTTGTACTCAATAGTTTATGGTTGTATCCTGTAATCCATAACAAGTTTATCATTCAAAATACTTAATTCAGCTACAACTCCATATGGTAGTAGCATAGGTATTAAGCATGTCTAGACATTGATAGTCTAGGGTCACATGCATGTTAGTTCATTGATATTCGCATGAATCATCAGCGCATTAGTCATCATGAATTACAATACCAATAACTATAATAAAGAGCTACCACTAAAGTAAGAAATAGTTATAAGAAGATTCATCTCTTTTGTGGGAGCCTGATGTAGGCCCGGGCTTGTGAGGTGTTGCCAGGAATCACCCAACCAACAAACTTGGCGGAATCACTCATACCGGGTTGGTGTAATCACTCGACTCCAAGTTTTTCTTCATTCAAAATTCTTCACTATATTTTCAGTCTACATACAAGACCTTTATAGACTCAAAACCATAGTTATCAAGACCTTACCTAATTGATGGTTCGACCGATTGGGCTACCGACCGATGCTTTGGTCGCTTTGGTCCTTGGTAAAATTTCAGTTTGCCAGAAGACTGCTCAAAAACAATGTTTTATCGGTTTTGGCCGGTCAACCAGTAAGGTTTTAACTGGTTCGGCCAGCTAAATGAATGAGAAATTTATTTCAGTACATTCTATATTTCTTAAACTATTATATCTATTTTTCATTCCTTTTTTTAAATTTGGTCCAACTAGATTGACTAGTGGTTGGATCGGTTTTGACTAGACCAAAACCCTCACCTGTTCGGTGGCCGCTCCAATCCCAATAACACTGCTCAGAACCTACGTCTACATGCTTTTAAAGACCCATCATTAAGTCCCTATAAATTGGAAGACCAAAACCTACCTCGAAACCCACAACATTGACTAAAAACGGACATTATGTAAGACTAAACCCCATCATTCATACAATAATTACTCCCATGCAATTGTAATAATTTCTATGCATCCTTTTCCAACACCATACATTTGCACTGACTAGGCATCCACCTTAGCACTAACTAGGCATTGCATCATTCACCCCTTCTTGAAAGGAACTCGACATCTAGTTCGAGAAATCCTAACGAAGCTCCCATTCTGCCTCACATGAACCATAGATTTTGTGTTTGGTGGTTGACAGTGTAGTCCCACTACTTGTTGTGGATGCTATTAAGTATCCATATTTCAAGAATTGGTTTGTTGTCATATTGTTGAACTACCACCTCAAAAAATAGGGGTCATAGTCGATGAAAAGTCTTATCAAGAAAGGGTCTTCTCCCTTTGGAAAAGCATCATGGTATACATGTGGTTAGATTTCAAACTCTTCATAACATTGATTTTTCCCCATTGGAAATAGGTCTCTCCTCAAAAGTATTTTCTCGATCACATTTTCTTCATCGAAGATGGGTGGTTTGTCCTAATCAACAGATCTCGAAGATGAGAATGGCAATCACACTGCATCATCATGGTTTTGAAACTGCTCAAGGACTTGAATCATCCTGATTTCTTGCTAATCAAAGCCTGCCCTGACACCTACTTGTTGCAGCCGGGACCTTCGAGGTATTGTTAGGATTCACTTAATGAGCAAGGTTGGGCGGAACCACTCACGCTAGGTAGGGGCAATCACTCAACTCCAAGTTGCAGCAGCTAATTGCTTGCAAATATTTTTGTCCTTTTTATTCAAAATTCGCCGTTATCTTTTCAGACCACATACAATACCTTTTACAGACTGAAACCTAAGTCTACATGCTTCTAAAGACCTATCATAAGTCCCATTGCATTGAAAGATCAATACCTACAATGAAACCCACAACACTGACTAAAGATAGACAATACCTAAAACTAAACCCATCATCCATACAACAATTATTCCCATGCATTCCTAGTTTCTATGCATCCTTTTCCAACACAAAATACATCGACTTTTATGCAATATTCATGCAAGACTCCTATTTCCCACATGCACTATCCCGACGCAAAAATACAATAAATTTTAATGCAAATGCAACCACATTTCAATGCACATCCATGCACTGACTAGATGTCCAACTTGGCATTGACTAGGTGCTGCATCAAAGCTTGAATGGTCCAACTAAAAAAGACTAAATTTCAACTTCGTTATTGTAGAGAATTTGAAGAATCTCCACTAAACATATTGGACAAGTATGGAACAAAAAGTTCATAAGAACTTACATAGGGGTAAATCCTCGGCATTAAGCATATTTTGTGTTATGCTTTCTTTAAACATAATTTTCTTAAGTGCTATCCTTTCTTTATTCCATGTTTCTTTGAGCAGAGAGGGATTGATAATGTTACATAGATATTTACATGGTGTCAAAAACGCTGGCCACTAACATGGAATCGACATGTCCATATAAGTATTTTGATATAGAATTATATAAAATATATATTCATATAGAAATATAAAAAATATATTAGAAAAATTTAAAAGTATTTTAATAGGTATGTCCTTGCATAAAAATGCTGTTTTCAGCAAATAATGTTTAGAAAAAGAAACTAAATTGATGTAATTTTAATATATAATGGGGATAAGGTCCTTTAATGATTAAATTTTTAATTTGGTATGTTTTCCACATTGCTCTAGATATACTCGTCAAAGTTTGGGTAATTTTGTCCTAACTCAGTGTTACAACAACACGGATGCAACATCCGACTCAGATCTGTGCGTTGGAAACATCAACTCCAAAACTGGCTTTTCAAACATGACACATCTATACAATATTTCCAGGGGGAGGAGATGGGGTTTTAATATTTACTTTCACATAGAAATTTTGAGAAAACATGTTGAGTAGAAGAATGAGATGGGCGACTGTAATACTGTATTAAGAAAGTGGCAAAAGAAGTTTCGATAAGAAAACTTGGTGTTGGAGTGACATGGTTCAGAAGACCATTAGCAAAAAACGATCATGTTGTAAAACTTGTCAATATAATAGAAATGATCAAAATTTAGAAGGGTATACAAATGCTAAGAAAAATGCTAAACAAACAGTAAGTAAGGATAAACTTAAGGCAGATAATAATCTAAACAGTAAACTGGGAACAAGACTAAGGCATGTGCGAGAGACAACGGCTATGAAGCTGTGTGAGAGACAACGACTAAGGCATGAAACGGGTATATTAGAAAACCAATTTGGATTTATGCCATGGATGTCAATAATTGAGGCTAGTTTTCCATTTAGGCAACTAATCGAGAAGTTTAGGGCGAAAGGAAAAGACCTCCAATGGTCTTTATTGATCTTGAGAAAGCTTATGATAGAGAATCTCAATATTTAATTTGGTGGGTGTTGGAAAAGAAAAGAGTTTCCAGATACTATATTAACTTGATGAGAGATGTATGAGGGAGCGGTAACTAGTAGAAAGACGAGTGTGTTTTCAATAACAATAGCTCTACATCAGGGGTCAGTGTTGAGCCCATACCTCTTTGTCTCAGTTATAGACGACTTAGCTAGGCACCTACATCATGAGGTACCATAGTGTATGTCGTTCACGGACGAAATAGTTTTGATTGATGAGACCCAAAGCGGCATTAACACAAAGTTAGAACTTTGGAGGGATGCTCTAGAATCTAAAGTTTTTAAAATTAGCCAGACTAAGACAGAGTATATGGAATGCAAGTTTAGTCATAATAAGAGTAGAGTCGAAGAAGTAGTTAAAATTGACGATCAATAGATACTAAAAAGAGCCCACTTTCAATAT